GGGGGGGGGGGAGTGGAAGGGAAGAGACTCACACAGAAGCAGGTTAATTGGAATCACAATGCGTTTTTAATTCCGCACCGTGTTTTCGTGATATAGGCGCGGCGATTGTTCTCTTTTATGTTTTCTCCTCCCGCTCTTCTGCAGAATTCCGCTTCCCCCCATTTTGTTTTCTTGCAACTTTTTCCCCTTTTCATGTCGTGTATGGTCATCTGAAGATGAAGGGACGGCTGACTCTACTGTGCGTCATCGTGGTTGCATGTATACTAGTGCTGGTGCTAACAGATGGCGATGATGTCGCCCCAACGCGTGAGCAATCGTTGCGTCACACAGTTGTGGATTGTGCACTCAGCAGATTCGCCATGAAGATTAAATTTCTTGACGTGGTGTCAAGTATATGTGGTAAGAAGTGCACAGCGCCATCGAAGCCGTTATTCTGTGATCGCGAACGTTTCCTCCAGACGCATGGAAGCCCCCGTTTCGATTTCTCCCACATTCCCAGAGATGCGTTGCGCAGAAATGGGGAGAGAGTGGATGTGATTTACTCCGCTATTGGGGAGCGTTTCTACGGCGCTGGGGGCCAGTCGTACGTTTTTGATTCTATCCGGCAGTGGCGCCTTTTTCACTCGTCTGATGAGTCACGGGTTTTTCTCGTAATGGACGACGCGCGCATGTTGGACCCCCAGACAGTGATATATCAGCGTGACCTTGATATAACACTGGTTGCAAAAAGTAGTGTAGAAAGTCCGCGACTGGAGCGATATCGGCGACTATTTTACATACAAGGCTTCATGCACCCAGGCGGGAATCGCTCTACGGGAAATAAACATTTTAATCAGCTCGTGACGGAGCGTTTTTTCGCCGTTGCCGCTGTTATGAATCGATTTGGGCTACGCCATGTCCTTCACGTGGAGAACGATAATATGATTTACGCCAATATGAGAAGAATCGTCACGGCGATAGCTAGGTGTGGGTACGACATAGCATCGACTGCGCCTTCAGCTGATATATTTGTGCCTGGAGTCGTTTACATTAGGGACGCGGCGTCGATTGAGCGGTTTGTTGACTATCTCAACGACTTTTTGGACTGCGGGAAGAGTTTCGGTCTTGCCGTGGGACGCCAGGTCACTGGAAAGAAGGATCCCTACGCCAACGACATGACGTACCTGATGAATTACTATCAGCTTTTTGGGTCGGCATATGTGGGGGAACTTCCGGCTTGGCTGCATGTGGAGGGGGAAAACTGTGTTGTGGAGAGCTCAAAGCAACTTGGGATCCCACCTTTTCTCTTCGACTCGGCATCGTTTGGGCAGTGGTACAGCTTTGCCGCCCTATACGGGACTTCTGTGCCCCCCTCAAAAGTTGTAAAGGTAGTGAAGAGACGTTACTTGGACATCACGCCTCCGCCGGAGATATCATGGGTATATGAGGACGGAAAGAAGATACCTCTATGGAAGGGATTCCGCCTAGTCTCTTTACATATACATGCGAAAAACCTACACAATTTCACATCTCAGTGAGATTGGCATTCAAGGGCAACGCTGCTGATGCGTTGCCAGTTGTGCTCTTGCGTACGTACCGCAGTGCATCGAATGTCACTCACAAAACTCGATGAGCATTCATACAAGGAGACAGCTGTCAGTAGTTTGCTCGCAAATTTTTTTTTTAATACTCTTCACCCCACACTACGTTTCTCTGACTGCGGACAACCACGGTGGCGCAGCTCGACGAAAAAGAAAAAAAAACGGAATCATAACAAGCGAGCTTGACGCGTTGCTTGCGGCAGTCAGTGAGCCTATTGTGTTGTCCGCTGTTGTATTCCACGCCGTCCGTGACAAGAAGATTTGCAATGCGCCTCTCCCAACAGAACAGCCC